CTAGTAAGGCCTTGATTAGCTGGTTCAAGTGTGTTTAATTAGGGTCGGAGCTAAACTCTGTTGGATGCCTGTTGCCCTCCAGGACAGAGTTTAGAGACCCCTGATTTATGTCTTACTGATGTTTTATGTCAGGGGTGTCTAATCCTGCTCCTCCCAATTAAACACGCCTATCAGCTAATCATAGTCTTGCCATAAGCATACTAGAAACTTCCAGGCAGGTGTGTTGAAGCAAGTTGGTGCTAAACTTTGCAGGACACTGGCCCTCTAGGACCGAGTGTGGACACCCCTGTTTTATGTTCATATTTTGCTGTCATACATCTTCACACAGAATGGTTTGTGTAGGTCATCATGCTACTTAAACACTGCTGCTTCTGTAGTCTGCTATTCATTCATTCATTTGCAGTTCAGTCAGACATTCATGTCAAGAGATCATAGTTCACTGTATTACAGAACTGACTTCTGGACAGTGAGTTTTGTTTGCTTAATTCTGAGGTATTTCTGAAATGTCAGAGAAGATGGCACATGATAAAGACAAGACAAGCTCATCCAGTGAGTTCATACTTGTTCTCTTTACTTGTGCTGTTAAAAATGTCACCAAGTCACTCCTGAGATTCATGTATTTTATTTTATTATATTTTATTTTACTTTCAAAGTTAAATATAGGAAAACAACCTAGTTTAATGCAACAGTTTTCACTGTAATTAAGGACTGTGTGCAATTCAGATCTTGTGCATCAATTATGCTTAGTGTTATTCATTAATATAATTTTGGTTGGAAAGCTTGTTAGAGATAAAAGACTAAAAACAGTCAGCTAAAAGTTATAAGTTCCCAATTTCTTATCAGGACTTTTAAAACCTGCCAAATGAAAACAGTCCCATCTACAGGTCAGAACAGGAACTGTTTAACAGACCAAAGAAAAAGCATTACACCTGCAGTGAGCTGCTTCTCATCAGTCTGAGAAAAGTCTGAATGGCATTAGATCACCTTTAAAATACTTACTGTTTGTGAAGAATTATACAATACTTACTTTACTAGTGCTGTTGATCAGCAGGTCAACAGCTGACTATCATTCACAAACTAAAGCAAAAACCTTATTAAATAAATAAATAAATAAAGTGACATTAACACATGTAACTCTTTCTGGATATAGTGGAAAGTTTCACATTACCATAAGATAACTTAATAATACTGAACATTTACTTAAGTTATATTGTAAATATTAGACAAGCTGCAATTGTATAATATGTGAATATTTTTGTGACTTACTTGTGATGAATTCAAACGAGCATACACGTGGACTAAATATTATATTTACTTTTAATAATAATTGTAAATATTTTTAATGTAATCGACACAAACCATAAGCAAACTAGGTCTTTATTTTAAAGCAGGCTTTTTCTCATGAGGAGGAGGAAACATTCAGTGGACATACAGCTGGTTTAAAGATGGAGACCCTCACGATACATACAGAACAACAACAGCAGAGTTCAGATTCAGAGCTTTTTATGTTTCTTACAGTGGTAAATACAGCTGTAGAGGAGAGAGATCAGACTCACAGAGATCAGACCTCAGTGCTGCTGTTACACTGACTGTATCAGGTGAGTGTTCAGATTCACATCTGTTTAATGCTCATTTAAATCAATATTTGTGGCTCAACATTTTTTCTTATTCCTTTCTGTATCAGCCACATCTTTTTACATCTAGAGGACTGAAACAATTCACTTTTAAGGCCCATTCACACAAAGAACAATAACTAGTATGCACACCAACTGACAATATATTTATTTTGTGCACTGCAGATTTGCCCCCTGATAAATGCTTTGAGCTCTTTAAAGTCTTAAAGATTCTGATTGAACCCAAATATATGCAAGTGAACCCAATTATATCATTCCTGTTTATATATATGTAGAAGATATATATATACTGTATATATATATATATATATATATATATATATATATATATATACCTTTCACACATTTCGAGGGGCACTGC